GAGCAGGGGCAGGCTGTGGGGGAGGGGGAACAGGGGCAGGCTGTGGGGGAGGGGGAGGCAGGGGGCAGGCTGGCAGGAGTTCCACAGCATGGCAGCTGTGGCTTCAGTCCACAACTTGCCGTTGATTTCATAGGAGCTTTCTACATTGTTGTGGTTACTGCTCCCCAGGCCAGCCCTGAGGAGCGGAATTGGCCTCAGAACGTGAGTCCAGGGAGCGTGTGCAGTGTGTTGGCGCTGTGCGGCCGGCGCGCCGGCGCGGAGCCTTGCCCTCAGCCCGGCGCCCCGCCGAGCCTGCCGCCTGTCCTCTCTCCCTAGGGTGTCGCTGCACAGCCAGCAGAACCTCATGACCGTCTCCAACCTGGGCGTCATCTTCGGCCCCACCCTGATGAGAGCCCAGGAGGAGACGGTGGCCGCCATGATGAGCATCAAGTTCCAGAACATCGTGGTGGAGATCCTCATCGAGCACTACGAGAAGGTAGGCGGGGCTTCACGCCTCCGCTCAGAGCGGGAGCCCTGCTTGAGCCCACCTGGGAGGAAGGCGAGGCGGGGTCCTGACCCAGACCCCCAGGCCTGCGTGCGGGTGCTTCAAGCTATCGGTTCACCTGACTCGCACTCCTGGGATGTACGGAGCTATGGAAAAGAAAGCCCGCGGAGGAAGCGTCCCGTCACCCAAGGACTCTGTGTGTGTGCATGGTGTGTGCATGCATGGCGTGTGCGTGTGTGTGCTTGTGTACACGTGTGTGTGCGTGTCAGCCAGCACTGTGGTTCTGAGGTTTCCGCCGTGTGGCTCTCGTGCTGACATTGCCATTGTCCCTGAGTCTGGCCGTGTCTCTCTTGTGCAGATCTTCCACTCGGCCCCAGACCCGAACGTGCCTCTCCCCCAGCCCCAGTCTCGATCCGGGTCCCGCAGGGCGCGCGCCATCTGCCTGTCCACCGGCCCTCGGAAGCCCCGGGGGCGGTACACGCCGTGCCTGGCTGAGCCCGACAGTAAGTACAGCCGCACCCCCCACCCCCCCAGGGTTCCCTGGACCGCAAATCCACTGTTGCCACCAAGGGGGCGGAAGACGGAGACCCGGCGCCATTCAGCGCGGTAGGAATGGCCAGGTTTGATCCTGTCGTCCGAGTGGTTCATAAGAAAACAGGAGAAAGTCAGTGAAAAAGCCGTGGTCTCGCTTGCTGGCTCTCACGCTGAGTTCTCAGAGCCTGGCCTTGGGGTGTCGGGGAGGAAGGAAGGAGGGAGGTCCCCACCACGCATTCTCACCCTGCAGACCTCACTTAACAAAATGGTCTGAGTGCGCGTGGGTGTGCGTGGTGGTGCTCTACACCAGTCTAGGGCTCCTGGGTGCAATTATTTTAAGAGTAGTAAGAAAATAAGCTTCACCAGCCGGCCTCTTATAGCTAGCTGTGCCCCTGTGGTGCCTGCACAGAGGGGCGTGGAGGGGTGTGTGCATGGATCCAGGTGCGTGTGCGTGGAGGGGTGCGCGTGTGCATGGATCCAGGTGCGTGTGCGTGGAGGGGTGCGCGTGTGCATGGATCCAGGGGCGTGTGCGTGGAGGGGTGCGTGTGTGCATGGATCCAGGGGCGTGTGCGTGGAGGGGCGTGTGCGTGGAAGGGTGCGCGTGTGCATGGATCCAGGGGCGTGTGCGTGGAGGGGCGTGTGCGTGGAGGGGCGTGTGCGTGGAGGGGTGTGCGTGTGCATGGATCCAGGGGCGTGTGCGTGGAGGGCGTCTGTGTGGAGGGGCTGGTGTGCGTGGAGTGCCTCCGTCACTGGGGATGGGAAGGTGAAGGTGGGTGCCGGCCTCCGGTCCACAGAGTCCCGCGTCGTCCCCAGTGGGAGCCGCGTTTCCACCTCCGCACTGCTCGAGACACGTGGTCTCACCGGGGTCAGTGTGTGAACACCAGGCAGCGGTTCCGAGCTCTGGACAGAATCCTGCTTGAGCTCCCGCGCCTGTCTGCGGGCGTTCCGCAGTACCGAGGCCAGCCCTGGGCCGTGCAGACCTGCGGGGTCCGGTTGGGCCGGGGGGGGGGGGGAATACAGGTGCGGGGAAGGCTGTGGCCGGCGTTCAGCGTTGTCTGTCTGCGTCCCGCCGCTCAGGTGACTCGTACAGCAGCAGCCCGGACAGCACGCCTATGGGCAGCATCGAGTCCCTGTCCTCCCACTCCTCCGAACAGAACAGCACGAGCAAGCCGGCCCCCTGCCCGCCCCGGGAGAAGCCCGGAGGGGTCCCCTGGATCGCCACCCCGTCGCCCTCCAGTGGGCAGAAGAGTCTGGGTCTCTGGACCACCAGCCCCGAATCGAGCTCTCGCGAAGACGCCGCCAAAACAGACGCCGAGTCGGACAGTCAGAGCGTGGCCTTGGTGGCCAGCCCGGGGGAAGGCTCCCCACCCGCGGACCCCGTCAAGAAGGGCCCCTACGGGCTTCCGGGGCTCCGGAGAACCCCGGGCTGCTCTCTCCGGTCCGTCTCTGCAGCTGAAGGTAAGCAGCGCGGGCCCGGGCAGTGGCCACCTGCGCGCCCGCCACCCCGCAGCCAGGCTAACGGCTGAAACGAAGGACATACGCTCTTCTGCTTGGCGCCTGAGCCTAGATCCTCCCAATCCTGTCACCCTCTGCCCGCCTCTCTCCCTCCCTGGAGGCGATGTCTTTGTAATTACTGTCGATTTTGATCTGCTGAGTGGGGGACAGCTGCACCCAAAGAACATTCTGTGCCTTCCTATTCAGCCCTGGAGGAAAATGCTTCCTTTGTGGTACACGCGTACAGCGTTAGTGCTATTATTTTGTCTGTTCTCCTGGGCTTGCTTTTTAGGAAACAAGAGCTACAGCGGATCCGTTCAAAGCTTAACTTCTCTAGGCTCCAAGGAGTCACCCAAAGCCACACCAAACCCAGAGCTGCCCCCCAAAATGTTCAGGAGGCTAAGGCCAGACACGGCGTCCAGCAATGGCTACCAGAGGCCTGGCTCAGTGTAAGTGAGGACAGGTTTGCATTGCCTGTGTCCCCCGGGGGGGCAGAGCACCACGCACCGACTCTGCAGACCACCACACCGTTCAGGGCGCCACGCACTGACTCTGCAGACCACCGCACCCGTTCAGGGCGCCACGCACCGACTCTGCAGACCACTGCACCCGTTCAGGGCTCGGCTTCTCAGGGGACAGGAGACGCGTAGGCCACCCGCAGGGTGGAGGGTCTGCTTGCTCCCAGCAGTCAGAGGGACCTAGCCGCCCTGTCACATTGACTCCATTCTCCCATTCTTCCCGCGCCTCCAGCTGGAAGCAGAGTGGGAAGAAAACCTTCCTCTCTGTTTCCTTGTTTTCTGAAGCAGAAAAGGGGTTCGAGGTGTAAGGTCCTCAGGAGAGGACCCCGCAGCCCAAATCCCTCTCAACTGAAGTTTAAGGCACAGCTGGGCGGGGTGGGGGGACAGAAGGGGTACACCGGCTCCCAGCTCATCCTGTTTGGTTTGAATGTTCACCCTGAGCCGGTTGATTTTTCTGGCTGACTTCATTTTTTTTAAATGAAGGTCATCTTTCTCAAATGTGGAAGCATGAAGATGACACAGAGTCGTTCATAAAACTATTTAAATGCATTCACTTACTTTTCAGAGTGGCAGCAAAGGCGCAGCTGTTTGAGAACGCCGGCTCCGTGAAGGCGGCTTCCTCCGGGCGGTGAGTTCCCAGCAACCTTTACGCACACCTGAGAAAGAAATGGCGCCGCGGCCGCCGCGTGCTGCCACTGGCCAGACACAGGCCCCCGCAGAGGAGGGGGAAGGCAGCCTTCCTAAGAGGCAGACACCGCCACGGCCCCTGCTGGCTTCGATGACAGTGTTTGGGTTACAATTTTCAAAAGTGGGTTTTTTGAACTTATAAAAGTTACATACGTTTTTCTGGAATAATCCTCAGGGATACGTATTCTTGAAAGTGACTGCAGCATTGTAGAGATAGCTAATTTCCCCAGCCCGGGCGCTGGTGTTTCCTGGCGCGTCGGGCCCTGTGTGGAGGGTGGAGTGCCAGGCTGCATCCTGCTGCCGCTGCGTTGAGCCTCTGCTTCAGCTCCCCCTGTCCCCGTCCCCCTGTCCCCCCATCCCCCTGTCTCCCTGTCCCCCCATCCCGCTGTCCCCCGTCCCGCTGTCCCTGTCCCCCATCCCGCTGTCCCTGTCCCCTGTCCCACTGTCCCTATCCCCCTCTTCCCCTGTCCCCTGTCCCCCGTCCTGCTGTCCCTGTCTGCTGTCCCCATCCCCCATCCCGCTGTCCCCCTGTCCCCGTCCCGCTGTCCCCCCTCCCACTGTCCCTGTCCTCCTGTCCCCCTGTTCCCCCGTCCCCCCGTCCCCCTGTCCAGTTCCTGGCCAATTCTTCCCATCTGCAGTGGGCCGTCCCTGTGCATTTGGGTAGGAGACGGTCACAAAGGCTGACGTTTTCTAGCATTTGCTTTCTAGAGGAGGCACTGGAGTATTTGTTGTCAAAATGGCATGAGAGATACGAGAGACTTTTTCCTTTCTTCTTCCTTTGGCTCCACTGAGGCATGTTTGAGCTTTGTCTGTCGGGCTAATTCAGTCCACGAAGCGAAGGAATCAGAGATAATTTAGGAATTGCTGTGTTTCTTACAGAAGTTATCCAACCAAAGAATTTTATCAACCTTGTAAAAGTATGCCACACTTTGTTAAATACTTACACAGTAAAACACATGTGCTGTTTGTTAAATATGTACATAATACAACACATGTGCTGTTTGTTAAATACATACCCATTACAACACGTGTGCTGTTCGTTAAATACGTACACATTACAACATGTGTGCTGTTTGTTAAATACGTACACATTACAACACGTGTGCTGTTGGTTAAATACGCACACATTACACCGTGTGTGCTGTTGGTTAAATACGCACACATTACACCGTGTGTGCTGTTGGTTAAATACGTACACATTACACCGCGTGTGCCGTTCATGGGAGGTAATGCGGGCCTGCGGCCGAGCTCGGCTCACCATGCCTCTGGGGCCTGTGCCTGGGTCCGCTGGTCTCTGCTTGTTAGCACTCCGCAAAGCCATCGCTTTAACATCTCACCAAGGTGATGGCAGCCTTGCCGGTTTCACCTGCAGTCGCCTCTGTCCACAGCGCCTGCTCCTTTCTCATCCTCGTTGGCTTCCTTTCTCTCGGGGCACAATGGAGCCGAGCCCTGGCAGGCCAGCGCTCACTGCAGTCTGCGAGTTAACCTTCCCCTCCGTTGGGCTCCACTAGATGGAGTCCTTCCATGAGGAAGCTCCACACGGCCTTGGGGAAAGTCAAGAGCGTCCTTCCTGTGCTGATGGCAAATGGGTTCCATCCAGCACCACACACACACGCACACACACGCACACACATGCACACACGCACACACACATGCACACACGCACACACACACATGCACACACACCCGCACACACATACACACGCACACGCACACACACGCACACACACGCGCGCGCACACATGCACACACACGCACGCGCACACACGCACGCACACACGCACACGCGCGCGCTCACACACACATGCGCACACTCGCACACACACGCACGCACACACACACGCATGCGCACGCACGCGCACGCACACGCACACACACACACACACGCACGCACGCCAAAACCCGAAGCCTGCCCAGTCCCTTCCGGGACCCGCGCACACCTTCCCCATGTCCCCTGGTTGTCCCTGGGTCAGGGATGCTTTGCGTCAGAGCGACGGCAGGAAATGAAGGCGTATTTTTTTCCGAATGTTTCAGTGTGATTGGCTGAGTCGGTGGGTGAGGAGCAGGGGGTCTGACAGGACTGCAATAAGAAAGACATCTTCCCAGAGTCTTAAGAAAGCTGGCAGTGAATAAAACAGACGCTGGCATATAACGGGCATCGTAGGTGCGGGCAGGCTCACGTGCTGGCTCGGTCTGAATACTCTGAACTACCTGCTGATGAGAGAGCGAGCTCCGCGTCCTGTGCTCGGGCTCCGGTTCTCCTTCAGCAGCTGAGCCACGCGCTTGTGGACTGGCTCATAGCTTTTCACAAGCTGCACACACACGGAGAGCGTGAACACGCGTGCTGTCAGGCAGGCCTGCTCGGGACCTGGCCTCGGTCACGGCTCAGAGTCACACACCTTGGAGGTCTGTGTGCTCAGCACACGGACAAGGATGTGTGTTGTGCACTGTCTCGCCTGAGCGCGTGGGTGATCGAATCCACGGGCCTCGCCTCCCCACTCGTCTCCTTGGTCTTGGGGCGCTGCCGTGTGCCATGTTAGCTTGCCCTTTCCCCCGGGCGTTCACCCCTGCATCCAGCCAGAGTCAGCCAGTGTCTGTTGAAACCAGCCAGATCTATAAGAAAGCGTGGCTGATCCGCAGCACACACGGTGCTGCTGGGAAACGGTTGCCAGCCATTGAGGAGTCTGGCTGAGGACAAGCCTGCAGAACGCTGCTGTGGTT